ATATATATATATATATATATATATATATATATATATATATATATATATATATATATATATATTATACTTGTAATCCAACAACAAAGCATTATATTATATAGAATTAAAAAAATGGTCCACAAAGTTGTGCCAGAAACTTGCAGATTTTTTTACATATATGTTACAGGCTATCATATTGATAAAAGGGAATAATGGTCCTATTATGTAAAAGATACAACTTTATGAGGTAAGGTCTATCTGGAATTGAACATAAAGTTTTTTCCAGTGAGACACACTTATCCAGCTACCATAATTAGGTTTTGAATAATGAAACAAAGGAAACCACATCAGCAGCATTTATATTAAAAAGATTTAAGTGGGTGTGTTTGGGTTTTGGAAGGACATGTAACATGATTAGGAACCAGAGTGGCATTGCCATACATAACCAACTAATTATATTGAGGTGGTCCTCTTGAAACTTTCCTAAATAGATAATCACCATAGAAACATACATGCATGCATGCCCATTTTAGGGTAGAATTACATTCAATTTGTAGACATACACTTGTACAAACACATGATTATTTTAGGTAAAGTATTTAATAATGTACAATCATGTTCAGTGAAAGAAATGGAGGATTTCTAATCGGATCTGATGCCACCCATGAATGTTCTTGGATCAGGACAGTTCCCTGAGAATTGAGCCTGAGAAAAGTCAAATCCTGGGTTCTGTGGAAGTAGTAACAGTTAAGTTAGTTAGTTAAAGATTTGTCATAAAGTTTTTAGAAATTAAAAAAGACACATATATTATTATTATTTGCTATTAATATGAGAAATTTGTACCTCTTCTTGAAACCTCTGAAGCATGAGACGTTTCTGTTCAAGATCAGCTGCATAGGGGTCAAGCTGGCCTTGACCTTCTATTGGAGATGACCATGTTTGACCTTTATCCCTTTTTTGCAAAGTGATGTGCAGTATATCATCCTCTGTCATATACCAAAACATTACAATCATCATCATCATCGTTTTACACTCTTTTCAGTAGATCAATTTTATGGTTTTATTATGTATAATATTAGCCCTCATATATGTTTTTAGATAGTCTTGTGTATTTGGCCCATCACAAAATACAATTGGGCCTTGTACTACAAGGCCCAATTGTATTTTGTGATGTAGGTATCTTTTATAAAGCAATGAATGGGAAAGGGCTCTCTCATATGGAAAATACTCTCTGAATCAATTACAACTCAAAAATGTTCTGTCTTGATCAAGAGAACATCATCACCCAAAACTTGCTTCCCTGTAAAGAGTAAAGACCACTACCCACCATTCACATCAAGGTTAATTGGTGCTGCTACTAGGATTTTAGAACCTAGAAATAAGTCTGAATTTGCTGTCACCTATGGCTCATAGTTCAACAACAGAGCTTATGAAATTGGAAAGTGAAAATCTTGATTTATCAGGGAGTTAGTTCTAATCAAGCATCTTGCAAAAATTGTGGTAATTCGCGTCACATTGCAAAGTCTACATCAAAGAGAGATTCCTAAACATCTGTCTTTGATTCTCTCAATCCTTTTCAAAATGGTAACTCAAGATTCGATCAAGAACAAGAAATTTCCACAAAATTTGCATCTTCAAACCAAAAATTGAACTGTTTTGCATCTGCTACAGAATGCAGTTAGTGACACTAAAGACTATGTTGCACACTGAATAGGAGTTTAAGTGGTCGAACACGGTCAAGGGTACCAGGTAAAGTTGAGGATACCAAAAGGAACAATTACTTATCTCGAGGGCAGAAAAGACATTTAACACATATCAGAAAGCATGGATAAGGTTATGGTGTCATGGGTTCTACAAATACCACATTACCACCCAAGAATGGTCACAAGTGCTTAGTTTCAGTCACAATGAACCATTTACAGTACTAAGTAGTAAGTACTAATTAAAATATAAATGCTTACCTATGGTCCAAAATGAAGAATCTGTCTTTACAGGCAAAGTCAAATCATGCTGCACAACCCACACAAGAATTGTACCCAATAAGCAATACAATCCATCAAAAAATATTTATACTAATGTAAATAGCAATTTCAAATCAAACGGGTAAATGGGCTACTGACATTCAGATATGGAGGATTGCCTTTGATTCCAACTTCAACATGTTTGGACTGAATTTTGCAGTGAAACAGCTTGGTAGGAACTCCTTTAGGCAAAGTGATGTACATATTAACCTCATCTAGAGTTTGATCCCATTCGAAAACCTTCTGACCTAATAAACAACTCGTTTCAAAAATTAAACATAATTAGTGTTTCTGTTTCACGAAACCCTAACAAATAATACTGATTTTCCACGAATGGATCAAATGCAGAGGGTTAAAACTTAGAGACATGGGCGTGACATACTTCCATGGAAAAAGCTGTGGCGTTTCTCTGGTGCCAATTTCTCCGCCATTCCCCGGTGGTTCTCCTTTTGATTGTCGTTTACCGGCGTCGTTTTTCTTGCAGAAATCTATTGGGGGTTTCCGGAGACGTCTAGATGCGTACTCTTTACCCGGTCCGCTGCTGACTAGTTTGGGTACAAAATCTCAACTTCTTCAAAGTTTACACTTTGCCCCCTCACTTTTACCAGTTGTTCATATTTTAAAAAACGAAGTTAGTTTATAAAATCCTGTTAAGTAACAATAATCATAAAAAGAGGCGGCAAAAATTGACACGACACGAAACCTAATACGAACTCGACACGAAATTAACGGGTTGGGTAAGATATTTCAATTCGTTTAAATAAATGGGTTGACATGACTCAACACGAAAATTGAACGAGTAAGGTTAGGATTGAGAATTTCAACTCGAATATGACTCGAAAATAACCCATTTATTTATAAGCAAGTTCTTTGAATTCTTTAAGTAAACAAGAAAGATAAATGCAAGTTTTTTGAATTCTATAAATGACCCGTTTATCTAAAACAATAAGTAAAAGAAAACCTTTGGATTGAGTCGTTTTGTAATGTTGAAATGACTTAGCCGTCTAGATCAAGACTTCATTTTCAGTTTTTCCATTCTCTCCCAACCTACACATTCCATTTGACCACTCTCTCATCCTCATGATCTTGTCTTCTGCCTCCCCAACTCCTACTCTTTCAATTTTGTCATTTGAACTTGTTATGACTTAATCTATTCCGCCTCCAAACTATTAGTTTTTCCTTTCCGCCTATCCAACTCCTACTCTTTCAACATGCTCAATTTTTTAACCTCACACGACACGATATATTTCAAAGTATACCCTTAACACGAAACCTGATACGAATTTGACACGAAAATAAACGGGTTGACACGACACGACACGTTAATTAAACGTATCAGGTTAGGGTCACATATTTTCAACCCGTTTAGTGTTTCGACACAACACGAACCCAATACGACATGGCACGATTGCCACCTCTAATCATAAACATTAAACTTTATTTATCGTATTTCAAATTGATTTTTAATAATGATGAGGTTTCAAACCAAATAGATCTATTAATAACTCTCATATATTAATAGGATACACAATTACTTTAGTCCTTAAAATACTAAGTTTTTGTTCCCAATATAACTATACCAAATAAATCATATTTGAATATACAAAGCAGAAAGAAAATTACAGAAATATCTCTTAAGAACCACTTAATGATCAAATTTGACTTATATAAATATCTTAAAAACGAGTTATGGTGAAATCTCTTCTACCTTTTGATTTCTATGAACATGGTTGTACTAAAAAAATATCTTTTATAAGAAAACATTTATATACGTCTGAAATCCAAGTGATAGCACCCTAGCAACAATTTTAGTTTTTGAAGTATGATGAAGAGATTCTTTCAATCAAATATCAGAGGGGGTACTTGACGAACTAATAAAATAGTTTGAGGGGTTCCTAGTAATTTAGCGAAAATGAAAACCTCTTACGTCGTCGTTCGAACTAAGAACCTCTTATGCCCGCTGCACATAATTTAAGCAATCCAAAAAAAGGAGGGATTCACCGGCCGGCGATTTGAACTCAACCAAGTGTTTGTGTAAAAGCGAGAGAGACAGAGGGCAAAAGGGACTCCGGCGAGTCCTACAAAGAAATGAGGTTTAATTTCGATATACCAGAACCTAGCAGTAAAGAAGCCCTAACACCACCGCCACAGTCACGGTCGCTAACACCACCGTCACAGTCACGGTCGCCGTCATCGGCTACTCCGGCAAACGAAGAGGTCGAATGGGTTCCTCTTCAGAACCACCCCATTTTCTCCAACGACACAGCCGCTCATTCATCGAATGATGTCCCAAAGAAACGGAATCTCATGGCTTGGGATGGAGCTTCTCGCCTCTACTACTGGGACATAAATACACAATCCCTACATCGAATTTCGCTTCGATTCGGTGAACCTGAACCCACTTCCGTCCTCGCTGCTTCCCCTACCAAGGTCTTTCTTTCCCTTATCAAACACTCGCACATTTCAGGTTTTACTGTTTTGACGATTCTGTATCATATTTTATTACTCTTCCCTTTCATAGGAACTACTTTACTTTAACTATTACCATATTTTATACAGTAGTTCACATCATGGGATTCCGAGTTTTTTGCGCTTAACATGTGTTCGAATGCCAATGTACTGGATATGTGAAAAAAAATGTTAAACAGATGGAATCAGATTCTTGTATGTTTTGCAGTATTACCATCGTTTACTCACTCCCTTAAGCATGAAAATTCTTTAGATTTACATTTTGGTATTTAAAGGCATTCGTTAGTAGGAGAAACATGTGGTAAATGACTATTTGATACATTCTAATAGTATGTATTATAACCTATGAAAAATGGAAGTCAAATGTAACAATGTATTAACAGAGTGGCAAGCATGGAATTGCCTTAAAGATATGTATTTCATACAACAAACAAGGATGTATTTAAGCAGACAAAAGACGAAGATGAAATTTGAGGAAAATGAAACAATAGAGAACTTTTATGGGAACAGTTTACTGTGTTTTGCTTTCATTCTTATCCTGAAGTTTTATGCATTATAGGTGATGCGAGCAGATGTTGAGCTCAATTTCACAGTGGACAGAATTACCATCAATAGACATGGATCAGCTTTACTCTTAGAGGGATCAGATGGCATACGAGTTATGTACCTTTATGGAAGTACTTCATCAAAAGACAGTGCTGTTATTTGCAGGTAGTAAAATCTATCTGTAAGCCTTTTGTCTTATGTTTTGACTTAGTTTGTAAACTGTTATAACTTAATGGGAAAAACACCCATATGTAATGTAGCTTACTACATGATAAAATCATTAAATCATGTTTTTGTTCTACTGATCTTCAGGACAGTCTCTGTTGGATCAGATGTCTACTTCAACACGAATAATGCCATAAGGACTCTAAAAGTTTTATGGCATCCTTATAGCGACACTCATCTTGGAATTCTATCTTCTGATTCAGTTTTCAGGTTCAACATTCTTTTTCAAGAATATCTCTAGTTGAATTGCATAGAATTTATCGGACCATTTTGTATTACCTATTTAATTGTAATAATCACTATACATTATTTCTGTAGGCTTTATGATTTGTCTGTGGCTCTTGAACAACCAGAACAAGAATATTATTTACAGCCAGTTGAACGTGGTAGATCAAGGAATGCTTCATCAATATGCCCTGTTGACTTTTCTTTTGGTGGTGATCACTTGTGGGACCGATTTAGTGTGCGTTAGCTGTTTCATTATTCTTAAATCTTATGTGTTTTTGTTTACATTTTTTACTCTCACATGAACGTATATGGTTATATATAAATGTTTAATGTTACAGGTCTTTATTTTATTTAGTGATGGTTCAGTTTACATCTTATGTCCAGTTGTTCCTTTCGGGAGGTCAGTTGCAATAATATCTTGCTTTTTAAGGTTTTTATTATATTGGAAATCGACTGGCTTATGTTATGTATGTTATTACAGTGTGTACAAATGGGAGTCTGTATTGGAGATATATAATGATGCTCAAACATTTGGACTCAAAGCCAGTAGCTCTAAAGCTGTTAGTAATGCCAACCTGGCAATTTCTTGGTTAGAAGCTACATTTCCTGATTTGGCTGAACAAGCAGCTGAAGGTGGGAATCAACTTGCACTAAAATCTCATCCTTACGCCTTATTTGATTCATCTGTTTCCTTACAGGTATTCCTCTTAACACCTCTACTTTCACGGTTTCACCATTATATCAATTTAGCCACTGAACAATCTGAAAATACAGGGCCCTCTTCATAAAGTTTACCATGGCAAGGAAGAGGATCTCTCTGAATTGAAGGTTTCAGAGTGTGAGGGGAGAGCAGTTAGTTTTCTTTACAAAGCAGTTAGCAAAGATTCAGTTCTTGTTACAGCTTTTAGTAGTGGACAGTTACAAATAGATGCATTAGCCGATGAAATACAGCCCGTTTGGACACCTGGCAACCAGCCTCGTCTATCTGTCAATTCTCAAGACCGAATAATTGGTGTTGCCATGATATGTGAAACACATTCAAATGAGCTCTCTGTTGATCATGATATTTGGTTAGGACATTCACCACCCTTGTTGAAATTGGGAACTGTGGATTTAGCATTACCTGGAAAACCGGAATCAGGTTCCTTAATTTCATCGTTTGTTGATCCGCTTATACCTGAGAGAATATATTCGGTTCATGATGGAGGTGTGGATTCGATAGTGTTGCATTTTCTTCCTTTTACAAATCAGAAAAACGGGATAGATGATGACATCAGAGCTCCTACTGTGCAATCGGTTTTGAGCACTTGCCAGGTGGAATCCTCGGTGTCAGCTCTTTGTGGTTTTGTGGCATTGTCTGACTCGTTTGGATGTTCTTGGATTGTGGGACTCACCTCTGGTTTTGAATGCATTGTGATTGGAATGGAAAGTTGGAATCTTTTGCTTCCTGCTCGTATTGATAAAGAGAAGAAATTTGGAAATGGAAACTTGGAAGAGACTGGGGATGCTACTATTATAAGTAAAGAATTACTCACGGGTCCAAAGGTTGTTATTGTGCCTCCAACCTCACAGAATCCTGTTGCTGCTGATTCCATTGAAGGGAGATCTACTCTTCATCAGTATTTCAAACTTTTTCATGAGAACTATGTGGAGTATGCACATAAGGTAACTATTTGCAAATTCTTGTATTTCAATAGAAGGTTCGACTTTGATGCAAATAACTTAATCTGGTAACTTAATAGAGAAAGCCCTTATTTTTTCTAATAGAATCTTGATCTTGATGTTGGAATCATTGTTGTATTGGTTCAAGAACCGGTATTTCTGTTATAAGTTGCTCAAAGTTTGAATCTTTTAGCTCTTTTTAATACTCTTTTTGGCTTTAGAGTAATCATTTTGATGTGGGTTTTGAAATCTTGATGCCTAATACAGACAGATTGAACGAGAAAGTCCTTATTCTTTGTATAGAATCTTGATCTTGATGGTGGTATGGCTGTTCTATTGGTTCAAGAACTGGTTTTTCTGTTATGTATTGTTCAAAGTTTTAACCTTTTGGCACTTTAAATACTCTTTTTTACTTTGGAGCTAGAATTTCAATGTGGGATTTTGAAATCTTGATGCTTTATGCTTGGTGACCATTGATATGAGTAATTTTTTGTTGGTGGGTTTTTAGGTTTACTTTGAGCTTAAACACCATGGGCCTCAACTGAAGAAAATCATTGATGACCAACATGCGCGTTTACGTGAGGCACAACAGAAGCTAGCAAAGGTTGAAGAGAAACAAGAAAAGTTGGAGAAGCGAATAGATCATGTAATTCAGACTCATGATCACTTGGAAGAATGGTTGTTAAACCTAAAAAACCTACCAGGGATTCACAAGAAACCATTATCAAAAGCAGAACGAGAGTTCAAGATGGAGCTTGGTAAGTTTTTGTTTTTCTCTTCAAATTAGGTCAATTCAATAGTGTTCTTAAAAAAACCCCTCTCTGACCCTTGTTCTATTGGATTTATGCAGATAGATTTAGAGGGTTGGAATTGGATGCATTGCACACAACCATAGAAGCTATAAATGGTCGGATACAAAGATACTCATCTTCTCCACAAACCAAAAAACCCAACCAAAGAAGGCAAATTGCAGGAAGGAGGAAAGGGAATGCTGAAGATGATGAAATCTCTCACCTCAAGTCCTCCATTGCAAAACTTTCCATTGTCAACAATGAGAACACGAAAAAAGTCAAACTTGTGGATTCGGCTTTGAAAAACCGCGAAAGTAACCTTTAACTTTGAGGAAGATAATGTGTTTGAAATCAAGAATTTTGTTATTAGTAGATTTGAAATGATTGTGAAACTCTTGGTTTCAAAGCCTCCATCCAAATCTAACCTTTCAACCATCACTACTGAATGGTATGGTTGTAAATGAACCGAATGTTTCGTGAACTAGATTTTTTTTTGTTTGTTTTATTAACATCTGTATGTTCATTTATTTTCATGAATATCTAGTAAATTGTTCATGTATGTGTGTTTTTGTATGTGATGAAGGTAGTGTGTTTGATACCCGAAGAATGTAATGTAATGGATCATTACATTACATTGTCATGCTTGGTTGTTTGTTAATTAAATAAAGTTAAATTGGTGAATAAATAAAATTTGTTATATTACAAAAAACAATCTTTTAACCAAATAAAGATATATCGTCACATAAGTTGTATATAAACATATTTTGTCCTTTAAAATATATATTACATGCATTTCAATTTTCAAGCACAAATATATATATATATA